GGTTCCGAGCTGTTCCCCTCTGCCCTTCTTGTCTCCATTATATATCTTTTGTATCAAATCCTCGAAATCTTCTTTACTCATTGTGTCACCAAATTTTAAATTGTCTATTTCTAGTTCTAAATAGAAGTGTCCTTTTTATTCTAATTTCCTTAAAACTTCCCCGTTTCTCATGTTTCATCCACGGCATTCTCATCATCCTTCTGTAGGACCATATCTTTTGTTGCCTATTTTACCTGAATTTTAGAAAACGAATGAAGGAATTCAGAGATATCTGCACTTTTAACGAGCACGGTTTTTTATATGTCTAAATTATTACGGCAACAGTTTTATGGATTTTTCAAGTTTTACATTACTGAGACTTCAATAAATTCTGTTCTAATTAAAAGAAAATTATAATTACATAGCATGCGCAAAGTTTACGAAGACAAAAATTTTGATAAAAACAATTGAAAACCGTGCCATTATAAGTTATAAAGTTATAAGGACGACATCAGTGTGAAATGTATTTAATGGTTGTAGGGATGCACATGCAACCTTGAGCAGCCTTCGTCTTCTCTCCCCTTCTCCGATGTGTCTTTTAGTCTTCATGTACATGAACAAACTTGCAGGTACGATGTTTCTGATCCAAGGAGGAGTTATGTTGCCCTGACCTTTCGACGGACGAGACGCATACACTCGGAGTATCGCACCTGAATCTTTCCTGGTTTATTTGACCCCCTCCTCCCAATTAAGGGTTCTGGGGTAAACGTTTTCTGGATTTTGGCGTTATCCGCTTGGTAGTCAAGGATCTAAACCTTCTAGTAACTTCAAAGAAAGTCATCATATCAGCAGGTGTATAATAAGTGTCTATTGTACAGCCATTTTGTGAATGGTTTCTAGACCTTGAAGTACTCTCTGGTGGGGCCCTCTCGATGCCATGATGATGGGTACCGTTACGTCAGTATCTTCGAGCGAATCAAGCCAGGTTATTTATGCGCGCATATCCAATGGGTGTCTGTTTCACTGCCTATTAGTAATTCATCAAAACAAACATGAAAGCAATCAAACTGAAAACGAACAAAACTTTCAAACCATCACCAAAAAGTAGACCCAATGTAAGGGGTCTATGTTCCAACTTTCTAGAAGTGGAACTCCATCTTCAGTCTAAATCTGACCTCCTGTTCCTGTCTAAAATGGATGACAATGCTTCAATCACGTTGCAGGAACTCACAGTCACCGGCTATTCACCCATTATAACAAAATACGACCACCTAAATCGTCACGGGTTCTGTAACTACATCACGGACAGGTTACCCTATGGCTTGGACACAAAGAAAAGAGGACTCTGATCTCCCGCGTGGCACATCCATAATACCACATTCGTCTTTGTTCTGTATCTTCCTCAGGATGAAGGGTCTGTAATCTGCGATCGAATATCAGAGAGGATTGACAATATCCTCATCGAATTTCCTTTGACTAACTTTCACATATGCGGTGATTTCAATGTTCACCACAGACAGTGGTTAGTCCACTCTAACAAAACTGATGAGGAAGGCAGATATTGCAGATACTTCTCCATCGCATGTGAACTGACCCAGATTATTGATGAACCCATCCGAGTCCCGAATGGGACGGGACAGCAGGCCAACCTCCTCGATCTTTTTCTAACATCCTGCCCTGAAAAATGCTCAGCAAAAGTTTTACCCCCGCATTGGCATATCAGATAATTCCCTAGTCAGTGTCCAGATTGACGCCAAACCAATGACATCCCCTGATTTAACGTTCCATAAAACGGTATGCGTAGGTAAACTGGGACAGCTTTCGGTCATATATGACGGAAGCTCCTCTCTCAACCGTTTTCAAACATGCTGCCCCCAAAACTACTGCCCTAATCTCCAAATAGATGCTTTCTGGAATGGACACCCACATTCCAGAAAAAAAAACAGTCAGCCCTGGATCACCCCAGAATGCACTGTAGCCATAGCTCACCGAAACCATTACTTCAAAATTTATCCCTAGGAGGCGGTGTAGCCTGGCTCTTACTTCTTTCAGAACCGCCCGCGATCGATGTAAGAGAATCCAAGAACCATCGTCCCACGTATGCCTTCAAAAACAATGTACCCATCATTCCACTATCCATAATCCTATCCCAAAACATCACAAGACCTCTGCATTGTTTATATTTCAACCTGTGAGGGAGCTCCACTAGTAACCACCGTACTTTTGCTCCATCTACCTGGTTTGTCATTAGTCGGTAAAATAAATGTTCAAAATTTGATCTTCATGTATTCAGTTGTTAATTTTTTTCCCTGAGAAATTCTTTTAAACTAGTTTTTAAGCTAGGGATCTGTTTTGCATGTTTTACCTTTTAATTTAAGACCCGATATCATGTGCTTTTCAGTATATCGTCGATGGCACAATGCCTAAAAAATTTTCATAGCTTAACAAAAACCAATTTTTTTAAGGCAAGGCGTTTTTCTTCATGCGTGTCACAGATCGGCGAAATAACATCAACTGGTTCTTATGCATCAGGATCCTTTAGAATCTTCTCAGAATTTCTTTGTTGTTCGTTGGTATACGCCGATCGTTTTTTTTTTGTTTTTTTTTTTTATTCGAAGCAGAAGAGAAGGGTTTTTTTTTACCTGCCCACAACTTTCAATCGGTACAGGTCTTCGTGGTTGTGGTATTGACTTGAAACACAACATATCTTACTAAAATAGACTATCAGGCAAAAAAGTAGTTATTCTAAAGGTAGTGATGAATCTAGCGAATACACTTTTCGTTTCATAATTGATGACGTCAACATATTTTTGCTGACCTGAGGATTTTTGTAATTTTAGGAAATTACATATAGTCTTACTTTGTCCTCCCAATATACGTAATTTGAGTTGAGTAAACGAATATTTCAAAGTACATTCAGCATGTCTTTTTGCAAGCATTACATTGGGTTTTACATTTGATGACTTTACTTTAGTTCCAGATAAAATAAAAATTTAAAATAAAAAGTAAAAGAATAATCCTATAAGGTTTTTTTCAAAAAAATTAAGCCATTATTTGGAGCTTTATTTAAATTCTGCGTGCAAACTCCATCGCCTGCCTTTCACACATTTCAAAATAACCTTCTTGGGATAGGATTAAACATTTCCATTTATCCGTCAAAATCAGACATACAAACGGGTTTTATTAATTTGTGATTAAAAGTTCGAAATTCAAGACCTTTCATACAAATGGCTTCCTTTTGTTTGTGCATGCGCAGAGCAAACCAGCTTTCATCCAAACTACCCAGGGAAAAGCTGACATTATTTCGAAGATAAAACACAGAAATTATTTATTTTATATATCGATAAATGATGAAATTGCTAATATGAGACACGAAAATTCTGGACACAGAAATTTAAAAACATTTTTCTTTTTTTTTTCTTTTTTATAAAGAAAAGCCTAATTTCTAACGTGCTTACAAACCTAAAAGTTAAGTTGAACATAGTAAATACTTAGTGTATTATATATCTAAGCAGAAATAAAGAATATTTGTTTATGCACACATTTAATGGGAAATTTAAGAAAAACCTACAGAGCAAAAATATTGGACGCTCATCAGTAAACCGCATTTAGTATTGCGCCTCTTATGAAAGCAATCAGACATTAAGAATAATTTGAAATAAGTTTCTCTCAGAAATTAGCTCCAAATTTTTTGCACTCCTATTGACAAATCCCCTTAGGATTGCTCGTTATCGTTGCAAAGTATTTTATCGTAAATCATTTCAACTTTTATCTTGTTTCAGGTTGGACAGGTCATAACTGTACCATCAACATAAACGATTGTAAGGAACACCAGTGCCAATCAGAGGCCATATGCGTAGATGGTATCGGCTTTTATACCTGCCTATGTCCACTTGGTAGAACAGGTGAGTTTTCACTTTTTTTTTTATTTGCGGCTATGACCATTTGGTAGAATAGCGTCTTCAAGAACTCATTAGAGCTGTTGATCTCATAAGCCATTGAAAGTGATTTCAATACTCGCCAGGATTTACCAAATGTGTCATCCGATTTAGAATGGAAAACAAGACTAGTTTTTAATGTGGATAATTATTCGTGTCCAGGTGCGTTAAGAGAATCCCTTCTTACTGATTAAACGCCTTTGAGTTCTGGGTCATTATTACCAAGGCGGACGAAGTCAGTTGTTGTAAAAATATGGTTCAGAACTGCTTCACAGGCCATGTAACTGCATCACAAAAACCAAGCACTTCCTGACTGAAGTTACTTTGAATTTTAACTTCTCGCCGGTAAGCCTTTTAGCGCACTGACCAAAACACTAAATTAAAATAAGATTTCTTTTGTTTATTAAAGAAACTTAGTTGGTCTTCTTGTTGTTCCCTTTATTTTCTTTATCTTAATTCTTTTGTCGCACAAGTGACAAGGTGCGATATGAAGACAAACAACATACTTTTTATGAGCTTTCCAGAAAAGAAAAAAAAATGAGATTATTCAGTAAATGCCCAAGTTTGAGAGATAATCAACAGATATCCTATATCAGCCGATCAATGGACACCTGATGATGACCAAAGGGTACTTAGTCGGAACGTTGTTTGTAATAATAATATTTATATCACCCAAGATGCGAACAATAGTTCGAAATAATATTGAGAATTACTCATCTTAGAAATGAAGTGCTAAATTAGGAAAAGCAGTACGAAACCGCCAACATAACCAAATGTCAAAAAACATCTAACATTGAATATAAACGGGCTTCAAAAACAAACGATTAATGTTCTTCGGTGGTGTAGTGGATATAGGAGTTGGTTATGCATGTGTTAATGTCATCTAGTAGTCATAAGTTTCATCTTTAGATATGGTAGTGAAGTACCAATTTAGCAGGAACGAACAATAATTGATATAAAAAAAATACCACAATAATCAACATATATCTCATATCAGCTGATCAATGGACACCTGATAATAACCAGAGAGTACTTGGTCGAAATGTTGTGTCTATAATAACATCTATATCGACCATAATGATAACAATAGTTTGAAATAATACAATATTTAAGAGACGTGTTCTCTAAGAAACGGATAACTGAAACTGGAGCAAATTAAGTTGCAAAAGAATAAAACATGTTTATTTGCAACCCTACAAATAAAAAATTTAAAAAATCTCAGTTATTTCATGTGAAGAATGTGTGTCATATACAACACATTAGGTCCGCTCGCCTGATATTTAATTATTTGATACGGGCACTGCAAACTTGTCAAACGCATACTACCCCTCGACTGGAGAAGGGGAGTCTGATTGGGGATTTCGGACATCGATTTGTGACCTTCGCTATCTTCTCAACATTTATTTTCTTCTACCTACATTTATATACGTTAGAAATGAAACTAAGCAAAACTGACTATTAAAGGATGAAAAATTTTCAAGGATTTTGCCGTCATTCCGGGGTCTATTTTTTTTTTTTTATACAACGGGTTAAACGCGACATTAGTCTTCTGTGCACCGCCTGCCTTGCTCTGGGAACTAAATTGAATTTGACAATAAGCAGTAAGAGATAAAAAGAACTTTGTCTCAAAAAAAATACAAGAACATTGACAACAGAAGTTTCACCTACCCACTTAGTGAAAATAGCACTTACAAAGTTATGTTGGAATTTTGGCGAAAATATAAAAATTGAGCTGTAGGAGAGAGGGGGTGTATCATAGATTCGTAGGGGTGGGGATCACGAGACTCTTGCACTGGCCCTGATACTTATGATTCCTCAGTGTGTTTAATCCTGTTCATCGACAAAAGAAAAATTTAAGTGTAGATGATAGATTGGGTATGGATTTGTACATCTATATGGTCACTTATTGTTTCTTTATATTTATTTGATTGACACATTTACCTGGAAATGTTTTAAAAAAAAGTTTGTCGACGTCTGAATATTCTTTTCATCTTATATAATTATTTTTAACTGATCGTTCCAACAGAAACAATTAATTTCACTTTTGTGCTAAGATCCTTAGGAACTGCTTTAATTCTACTCTCTTTGGGATCTTTCTATTGTCAGTCATCTTAACTCTGGTCTTGTCACTGGTATGCCATAATAGTAGATATAAAATATATTAATGTTTATGTAAGTAGTCTAATCCCCTAAAATGACCAAGGAGGTTGTCGTAAATAGGCTGTTATATCTATTATCAGTTTAGGCACATCACGAATCTTTGTCAATCTGTATGAACGCAGTGACATGGTGTACAATTCAGTTACCGTTGCTTTTACCAGTCTTTCATTTTGGCGCTTTTTAGCACTCTATATTAGGGCAGGTTGATTTTTCAATTCTTTATTAGAAAATCAACATTACCCTCGGTATGAAAGCTAGGGTTTGATGTGATAAATACTGACACCAAAAAATTAGATTCATAGCTTTTTACCAATATTTGAGCATTCGGTTTTAAAGATCTTCTGAAAAATGTACAGAAATACAGACTTTTGCTTACAAACTGACTTCAAAATTTTACAATTTCAAGTTTGTTTTTTTTTTTGTTTTTTTTGTTTTTTTACTGTATTCGATAATTAAAAAATGTAAAAGGTACAAAAAGGTTAATCGATGAATAAGATTTGTTAGATCATAATTAATTAAAGATAAAAGTGTATATAGCAGCATAATACTGCCGGGCAAAAATTACAAGACAAAATGTTATAAATTTGCATTGTTTATTGAAAATCGCACTAAAACAGCTGCATTGTATAACATTACATCATAATATAGCTAAATTATCCAGTATAATTTCCTTTTGAAGTAAATGATGTGTCTTATTTGATGACATAATGATAATAATTTGCTTATGCCTTTCATCTTGTCCATACGCAGTTTGTCAAGCTTCAGTAAATTATACATTTTATAAGGCTGTGCTATAAGGCTTTCACTGATCACTGGAATGAAATTCCAACGCTAAGATTTTGAACCTAAACTTAATCTTTAAACTCGTCTCCTCAAAAAACGGCGAAGATTCGGAAAAAAATATTTTTGTCGTTATCATGTCAAACCCCAACTTTCAAATTGAGTGCAGTACCACTGTTCCAAAGTTGACTTTCTCTACTCTGCATGCCAACACAGGTTCAAGTAAAATAATATTGTACTTCTCAATTTGGTCACAAGGTGGCCAAAATCAATAAGATAATTCTTAATGAGCATCTTCAGATCTGACATAATTTTCGAATATTCCATACGACAACAATGCAGAAATGTTTGCAAATACTTCCGCTAAGTCGTCTTCCTGGTTTAGGCATTCTGGCTCTTAACTCCATTGTTGATTCTTTAACATTTCCAGTCAGCGTGAGGATGACGGCGGAAGCCATTTTTGACTTTCTAACAAGGTAACTATTTTCTAATGTACCATTTCTTTCCTCCATGCTGCATACTTTTCTGGTACTAACATTGACGGATTAATGTATCTGAACACGGCCAGCGCGTACTAGCTACATTTTTATATGTTACAAATTAAACTAAGCACAACTGACTTATTAAAGGATTAAACATTTTAGCGGATTTCTACGTCATTCTGCGTTTTTTTTCGCGTTTTTTTTTGTTGTCGCCCAAATCCGTGAATTTGTTTGCTCATGATAAATCTCGATAATACACTATATAAAATTCGCTAATTTTTATGTTGAATGTGTTAAAATTATTCAACTTTTATCAAGAAAAATCTCAAGTTGATTTTAAAATTGCCACAAAACATTGTTGATTTATTTAAGATGAAATGAGCTATTATGACGTCTATCTAATTTATATTTAGATACATTGTTTTTATTTTCAATGTGTCTAGATGAAGTGTTCACCTATATTGCATATGATCCAATATTGTACATAAGTTACAATAAAATTTGTATTTTACATAAACAGTACCTTATGAAAATTGAGATGTACTAGAGTGGGGTTCCTGTATAATGGATTCGAAGAGGGAGCCACGGTCCTTTTACCTGAATATAATTTTTACCAACTACGCCCTGCTCCCAGTTTGTTAATCGTTTGTTGCTGTTTCAGGCCGTTCGCTCGTCCGCCGCTAGTCACGTGCTCTGCTTCCACTGCAAAATGAAATATTCGTCATCGTGAATAATTGCGACTTCATATTCCGCCAATGATAATGGTAATATTAGCTGTCTCCTTATAAGGAAACGTTATATATTAATTGACCGAGCAGCCAGTGCTGCTTTCGTTTGAAATCTAGTCTTTTTCTTAAAACAATTTTTTCAGGAAAACAGGTTTCTTAAGTCAACTGTTATCGTTATTTCCAGTATTGATGGAGGTTATGTTCCTAAACTTTTTTTTGGAGTAGTGGGGAACGTAAACATCTTCATTGTGCCATTATTTTCTCTTCGAATTACATATGTTATCCATTTTAGTTGTTGCTGCTGCTGAAAGTCCTCAAGTGGTATGGTTTCTGTTATTTGATACAGTACTTTGTGATTCTGTAGTGCCAGTCAATGTGGTTCGAAGACGTATTCTCTTCACTAATACCTACAGGCTTCATTCGCTCGAAGTTACCTATAGCCATCGATCTGAAGAATCGATTGTATCCAGGTGATAGTTAGGCAGTCTTGAAATAGTTTGGCGTCATGCATGACACTCAAAATGAAAGTATAGACCTGACGAGGCTATTTAGGAAAATGAGTAGTTTTTTTTTTTTTTTTGGCACAACACTTGGCAGTGTTGTGCAAAACTTTTCCTAACACAGCCTATCTTATGTTCAATTTCCTTATCTCTGATACTAAATTTATCATCTTACGGCCATATATCGTTGAAACGCCGGTTCCCGTACGATCACAGAAGTTAAGCAACGTCAAGCATGGTCAATAGATATATGACCGCTTGGGAATGCCAGGTGGTGTAAGCTTGGATGTGCGGGTGGTGTTAATGGAAAATCGAGTGCCGAGTTCCAGTTACGGTTGGGTTCGTTATATTCACTTACGCGCAAATACCCTTGGGAAAGGCATGAACCCATTATGAGAAAATTGTTGGAATCTGATTTTTTTTTTTTTTCTGGCTTTAAATACTCCTCAAATGGTTGATAAGCCGTAGAAAACGAACAGAAAAATATTATCATCTCTGATCCATACACCGAACTATCTGAAGTGTTTAGTATTTACTAATTTCGCATCATGAATTATGGCTTCAGGGTAGGAGGTATTATCACTGCCATCGTTCTAATCCCAGATCATAGTTTCTGCTTTGAAAAAGTTTGCACTAATGACTTTAACAGTTTTTGTTTTAGGGACGAATTGAAGAAGATATTTTAAATTTGTTTTTTGATATGCCTCTGTGAACTGGCAAATCTACAGTCTCTCTACCTACCCCTTCTCTCTCTCTCTCTCTCCCTACCCCTTCTCTCTCTCTCTCCTCCCCCCTTCTCTCTTAAAACCCCCTCTCTCTCTCCCCACCCCTTCTCTTTACCCTCACCCTTCTCTCTCTCTTTACCTACCCCCCTCTCTAGTCCCTCCTCCTCTCTCTATCCCCTCTAGCCCCCCTCTCTCTCTCTAGCCCTCTCTCTCTCTCGCTACCTCTTGCTACCTCCCTCTCTCTCGCTACCTCCACAGGCTTGGGAAGGTAATGGAATTTAACCTGAAAGATAATGCTGCTCATTAATAGGTTCCAGCTCACAAAAACGAGAACCTTTTGTCCAAATGGAAGGACATCATTTCCTTAACCTTGTTTTTTTTATTCTTTTCATTTTTTATTTTTTTTATTTTCTTTATTATTTTCCTCCTCGTCGTTTCTCTCTTAATATAATTACGAACCCGTGACAATTTCAAGGTTTTCCCTATTTTAATATTCTAATGAATCTTAATCCTTCGGTTAATGATCTACAACAGAAATTCCCATTAGATATTTGCTCTTCACAACAAAATATTACAATAACAAATATGAATGGTGGGACAAGCACAGTTATAATAGGATATATATATATATATATATATATATATATATATATATATATAAACTTTTTCCTCTCCCCAGTGTTGCTTAAAAATTAAATTACTTGAATGGTCGTTTAGTTTGCCTCGCTTTTTTATTTTTATGAGACAACACAACTTAAGCTATATTAAATTCTAAATATATGTACCGTATTTGACGGCATATAAGGCGCACTCTTTTATTTTATTTATTTTTTTTTTTTTAATTAAAAATATCTTTTAAAATTTCCCTGCATCTTATATGCCATATGTAGTTTTAAAATTCGCGATAATCGGTCAAAATTAGCTACCTGGCAACTCCTATTAGCTTGGACTTAAACATGAAGGAGCAATGGAACGCGTGGATGGCAATGCCTGATCACGACCTTACACTTACAGGAAGAATAAAAAGACCCAGCATTGCACAAGTCTGCGAAAGGGTGAAGCAAGCTTGGGATAATATTAGACCAGAAATTCTTGTGGAATCTTTTTAAAATGTGTGGCATTAGCAATGCTCGCAATGGAATGGAAGATGACGTATTATTTAACGAGGATGATGCTAGTATTGAAAATGAGTTTTGATAACGAAGACGACGAATTTTATGGATTTGAAGTTGAAAATTTTTTTAATGGTAACTGTACTGTTTTCCTTAATTGTAATAATTTCTTTATTCTTATTTTGTTTTCTTACCTTTGGATATAATGTTTTTATAGGCTCGTGTTCTTTTTTCCCTATTATTTTTCGTTTAATTGTAATCATGGCTTGTTTAACCAAAATAATACCTCATAAATATAGCCTAGGCTGTACCATTTACTAATAATTTTACTAATTACTAACTTTTTTCTTGATTTTTGTTTTCCTGATGAAATTGGGGTGCGTCTTATACACCGTCAAATATGGTATTTAAAATTCATTAAGTAGCGGGAGTTACATAATTAACTGGCCCTACCTAGATCCATGCTCTTGAATCTCACACGCTCTTAATTTCATTTCATGCTGCTAATGTCGTTGCCTACACTCCGAAATTTTACTTCCTATTTTTTTCAATAGGAGTAGATAGGTTTACCTATCGCCTGGTTCACACTCGTTCCCCGTCTTTGGTACAGGAGTAGACGTTTATCCCTTGTTTCCGGTTCCTTCTCCTAAAGTCTTCTCATTTTTTAACCTCCATTAACCCCTTGCGTCTCGGTGGCATTATCGCCTTGTTTTGTGATGAAATGGTTAAAAACAAAAAGTGTCGCTCAACTTAAACTTTGATATAAAATCAAAACTATTGTTCTTTTTTTTCTTTTTTTTCTTTCTTTTTTTTCTTTTTTTTTTTACTTTATTTTCGTATCAAATGAACGAGTTAGATAGATATGCATGCTTGTCTTATACAGCGGGGTGGCAGAAATACCTCCCACATAATGGTAAAATATTAACTCTATGAAGATACTATTACATTAATGTCTTACCAGTATGTGGGGGGGTTACTTCTGCCGCACACTCTAAATGGTCGAGCTTATTTAGCGGTTATGTACGAGGTTTCAGAGATGTGACATTTTATGTTGATACATTTTTTTAATCAATTTTTTTCAGGCCAATTTTGTGAAGGTGAAATCAATGAATGTGCCAGTTTGCCTTGCCTAAATGGAGGACGCTGTTTCGATGGAATGGCTTCTTTCAAATGTTCATGTATGCCGCATTACACTGGAGAACGCTGTGAGACACTAATTACTCCATGTGACAGCCAACCTTGTTTAAACAATGTAAGTTCATAACCCTACAAATATCTATATTCGCTGCTTCTTTCACTCCTTCAAGACACATGAACTTTGTTTCAAGGTACATTACTATAGGAGAAGCTTAAACTACAAGGTGCCCAGTTAAAAAAAAAAAACAAACAAAAAAAAAAACGGAAAATTTATTATCACTGTTTTATCTTTCAGGAAAAATTGACCTTGAATAACCTTGAATACATTTCTTGAATATTCATGACCTTGAATAATTATTTGACTCTCGCGTAATTACTTAACTCTGATTGGTTATTTTATGATGGATTAATTGCTGTTAGATTTTGTAACTCGTCATTGAAAGGTTATTTGCAGACAACTTTCGCCTTTCGTTCTGCCCTTCACGTACGGCTAAACAACTCACTGGTTCTGAGCGTTATCGTACTTTTCAAAAAATATCCCAGCCCTGTCGGCGGGGCTTCAGAATACGCCGACTGCACCTCTGCAGGGGGTAAAAGTCCCCCAAGGGGGCCACCTGTTTGCCGTAGGTGGCGACCCGTGATGTTTGGGGACGGGACCCTGGTGGCTGAGCAGGTCATGACCCAGGTGATAAGTGGTCATTAACTGCAACACTCCACTTTGCCCTTACCTGAGCTAGACGGGCGGTCGGAGAGGCCCACTCCGATCAATCGGCTGGTCATGACAAGCCCTAACACTCAACCCCCCCAAAAAAAAAAAAAACTTGTGTATTAGTATAATTGCCAATTTTATCCAAAAAAAAAAAAAAAAAAAAAAAAAAAAAATGACATTTATTAAAAAAAAATAAAAATATATATATATATATATATATATATATATATATATATATAATAAACCCCACATGAGTGTTGGAAGGCGGTGGCTAAGGGTCAATCGATTCTGAGGAAGAAGGCACAACATGGCTGCATACACCTGAGAGGCATCACTGGACTTGGCCAGCGAAGCCAAAGGAATGAAGGTGCTTGTGGCTTCCACTGGATACGAGTATACCTTTCCTGTAGCCCTGATGTGCCAGGGCGAATGGGTTCCTCCTGGCATCTCCCATAAAATTGGACTCCGAGGTGGGTGGGGAGCAGGAATGGCGAAACAACACCTAAAAAACAAATGTTTCCAAAGAAATCCACCAAGAGACCACATTTTGAAAGCTCTGACAGTGAGCCAGAAATAATATATCAAAACACCCCTACATATATGGTAATCCAATCAACTGAAGATATACCTATAACTAAAAATATCACCTTTCAAAATCGAACAAATACTTTCTAAAAAAATAAAAAAAAAAAACAACAAAAAAAATTAACAAACGGAACAATTCTAATCGAAGTTCAAAAAACACAAGTGGAAGAAACTTAAGATGGGAAACTTTCAACAACATCAAAATTAAAACCTCCCTCCATTAAACCTTAAATTCATCCAAAGGCGTAGTGAAAAGCTCTGAATTATCACTATGCACATTAGACGAAATAAAAACAAATTTAAAAACCAAAATGTAATAGATATCAAAAGAATAAGTATAAAAAAAAATGGAGAAACTATAAACACAAACACATACATATTAAATTTTAATATCCCAAAACCCCTAATGAAATTAATGTAGGGTACATAAAAAATAAAAGTTGAGACATATATACCGAATCCACTTAGATGTTTCAACTGTCAGAAGTTTGACACCACCAAGATAGGTGTACTAGACCCCAGTATGCGGAAGATGCGGTGAAAATAACGCAAGACACACTGACTGTCAGAAGGAGGCAAATGCACTAACTGCAAAAAAATCACCCCGCAAATTCCAGAGATTGCGAAATCTGGAAAAAAAAGAAAAGGATATTTCCAAAATAAAATATACTCAAAATATTACTTTCCCAGAAGCAAGGAAATTAATAAACACTGTGACATACACAGAAATATCAAAAAGACATATACCAAACCCAAACCAACAAGGACACCAAACATACGAAAATAATCAACCTATAACAAAACCTGAAGTAGTTACTCAACTTATGAACGAGATGAGAACTCTAATCCAAGAAATGAAAACCATTATAAAAACAATCACAGAAAACAAACAACTCTCCAAGGAAAACTCAAACACCAAAACATCAACAAACCAAGAGACACAAGCAAAGCCTAACAAGGAGAACCCAAAAGTACTCTCTTCTGAAGTGGCCTCTACCACTAGGCCATCACAGACTTCACCCAATAGGGAAACTATAAAAAAAAAAAAACCCTGATGGGCAGGAGCATAAAAATAGATCAAGATCAACCTCAAGAACAAGAACTGCCCCAAAAATAAATAAATTTGAGGCATTGGAAAAAATGGAAACGGAAGATGAGACCCCACAACTAAGCAAAACCCAATCAAGGAAAAAATCTAACCTCAAAACAAATCCTGCCAAAATTTAAAACATGGCTCCACAAGTAATCAAACATCAAAATATCCATAAGATAATCCAAGGAACTGCCGTAGCCACAAATTAAAATATAATGAGCTACCACTATTAATAGCTAAACAAAATCCTAACATCAGACACATTCAAGAACCACCACCCCCAAAAAAAAAAACATGAAAAAAAAAAAAAAAACATACTACTATACCGGAACCATGACTAATAAAAAATCATCCAATGGAACATAAGAGGTATGAAACCAAACATAAATGAACTACTGCTTTTAATTGGGAACCTATGTCCAATGATAATATGTTTACAGGAGACTTTTCTGAAAGAGAATGACAATGTAAAAAAATTCGTAATTTTACCTCATATAACTATATAAATAATAATACAGATAGAGCCTCAGGCGGCACATCCATACTAATTAATAACAAGATCCCTCAACGCAGAATAGATCTTGACACAAATCTTCAAGCTGTAGCTGCATCAGCCACTTTACATCGTACCATAACAGTATGCTCTATATACATACCCCACATGATCAGGTTATCGACACCGAATTAGAGCAACTGTTGCAGCAACTCCCTAGGCCATTCATTTTATTGGGTGACTTTAACAGTCACAACATCATATGGGGATGCAAAGAAATAAACAAAAAGGTAAAATCCTGGAAAGGATTGTTAACGAAAACGATCTATGCATACTCAACACGGGCACTCAAACATATATAAACCAATTTAGTGGGAATACCTCTGCCATTGATTTAACCATGTGACCCATCTATCTATATGGACTACACTTGGCAAGTACATGATGATACTTGTGGTAGTGATCACTTCCCAATACTTCTAAATAACACAAAGCCTAATGGAAAAAAATGCCCTGTTGGAAACTAGACAAAGCTAACTGGGAAAAATTTGAAGAAAATGCAAAGAAAAACTAATACACAAAGAGTCAAACAATGACACAATAGAGTATTTCACTGAAACACTGAACTCTATAGCAGTAGACAGTGTTCCCAAGACTACAACTCCAAATAAACGAAACAGACCCTGGTTCAACAACAAATGCCAAGAAGCAATTAAACTGCGAAAAGAAGCACTAAAAAAGAACCAATAACATCCAATCTGATGGAATACAAATCAAACAGAGCAAAGGCACGAAAAGAGATAAAAGCAGCAAAAAGAGAATGCTGGCAGAATTATGTCAGCAAATTGAATTGCTCAACTAAACCAAAGGCAATTTGGGAAATGATCAAGAAAATTATGGGCAAACAAGAAACAACACCAATAAAACACCTCTAAAAAGACAACTCCATAATAACAGATAAAAAGCTATAACAGAATTGCTAGCTGAAACCTTTGCCAAAAACTCATCCAGTCTGAATGGTACAAAAGAATTCATAACCATCAAAGAAGATGCAGAAAATGTAAACTAAATTTTAAATCAAAAATCTTGAAGATTATAATAGTTTATTGACACTAAGAGAATTGAAAGACTCTATTAAAAAATCCCATAATTCTGCTGTAGGCCCGGATGAAATCCACTATGAGTTTTTAAAAAATTACCAGAAGAATCACTAAAATTCCTTTTAAAAATATTTAACAAAATATGGACAGAAGGAAGGTTCCCAGATATATGGAGAGAGACAACAATGATACCAATTCCCAAACCAAAAAGAGATGGCTTGGACCCACAAAACTATCGACCTATCTCTTTAACCAGTTGCTTGTGTAAAAACAATGGAAAGGATAATAAACAACAGGTTGATTTGGCATTTGAATCAAACAATCTTATTTCCAACTTACAATGTGGGTTCCGTAGTAAAAAGAGGCACAATAGACCACTTAATACGCCTTGAAACAAATATTAGAGAAGCATTTATCAAAAGGAACACCTTACAGCTATATTTTTCGATCTAGAAAAGGCTTATGATACGACGTGGAAATATGGAGTAATGAGGGACTTGAGTAACCTGGGTATAAAGGGTAGATTGCCACAGTTTATTGATGGATTCTTATCTGAAAGAAAATTCAGAGTTCGTGTCGACTCTACACTTTCAGATGTGAAAAATCAGGAAGAGGTGTCCCACAAGGCAGTATATTGTCCGTAACACTATTTAACATAAAAATAAACACTATAATCGAGGAAATACCACCAGGAACCGATGGATCACTATATGTGGATGACCTTATGATATGTTATAAATCAAAATATATCCACACAATCGAACGAAAACTGCAACAGGGTCTAAATAAAATCAGCAGATGGGCAACGACAAATGGATTCAAGTTCTCTAAAACAAAAACAAAATGTGTCCATTTTTGTCACAAAAGGAAACTCCATAATGACCCTAGGCTGAAACTTGACGGTTCAGAGATCCCAGTTGTAGATGAATACAAGTTTCTGGGGGTAATATTTGACAAAAACTAACATTTATTCCCCACCTGAAATACTTAAAAACCAAATGTAACAAAACATTACAACTACTGCGCGTGGTAGCCCACACAAAATGGGGAGCAGATCGAAACACTCTGTTATTATTGTATAGATCCCTAATTAGATCAAAATTGGATTACAGTAATTTTATATACCGTTCAGCCAGAAAATCCTATTTAAAAATGCTTGACCCGATCTACCATGGAGGTTTGAGGTTAGTACTGGAGCCTTTAGAACATCTCCAGTCGAGAGCCTATATGCTGAGGCTAACGAAGCACCTGCAAATAGTAGAAGCCATAAACTGGCCCTCCAGTACTATGTCAAATTAGGGTCATGCCCAGCAAATCCTGCGTACAATAGTACCTTCTATCCAAAATACAAAGAATTATTCCAAAGGAATGAAAAAGCCATAAAACCCTTTTGGACTTCGGATGGAAACAATTATAGAAGAAGCAGATGTAGATTTGACAAAAAATCCATAAAACAATCATACCAGATATCCCACCTTGGACCATAAGAACCCCAAACATGAACTTAACCCTCTGTAAATACTACAAAATAAAACCCACCCACTAATTTTCCAAGAGGAATTAGAGAAAGTTAAGGAGAGATATCCTAGGCACTCACATGTCTTCACAGATGGATCTAAAGTAGGAAAAATAACAGGATGTGCCGCAATATATAATAGAAAAATATTTAAAAAAACATCTCCCAAATGACACCTCTATATTCAGTGCAGAAGTTTGCGCAATTAACATGGCTCTTAACCTCATCTCAGAATCAAGGAACAACAAGTTCATTATCTTTTCTGATTCACTATCAGTATTAGAATCACTAAAAAACAGGAAGTTGGATAATCCATTGATAGTGAAAATACTATGTAAATTAGAACACCTATCAAAATGATAATGATATACAGATATGTTGGGTCCCAGGTCACACTGAATCCCGGTGGAAATGACCAGGCAGATAAAGCAGCCAGGTCTACTCTAAATATGACCATAGAAAAAATTTCAAAATACCATATACAGACCTTTAAAATGAAGATAAATAAATACATACTGCAACAAAGACAACAACGCTGGAACAGCAATAGTAATAATAAATTACTAAAAATTAAACCTGAATTGGGAGAATGGAAACAGAGCTATAGGAAAATAGAAAAGAGGAAGTGATATTGTCCAGACTTCGTATAGGCCATACAAGGACAACACATTCCTACTTACTTGAAGCAAAGCAACAACCAATGTGTTATGCATGCCAGACCGCATACACAGTGAAACACATTCTCATTGAATGTACTGACCTAGCCCATATAAGAGAAACGCTTTATAGTGCAAGTAACATGAAGGAACTGTTCCAAAAAACTGACATGGATAACATAATATCGTTCCTGAAAGCAGTCAATTTGTACCAAAAAAAATCTAAAAACATAAAAAGTTGGGAGTTTTCTGCAAACTTTTGCTGCAAGGAATGTTTTCAACAAAATCTGATTCTTTCTGCATACCATTTCTCAAAAAAGGAAGAAACTTCCTACGATACAATTCTCTACAAAAAATTTTTTTTGACAGAACCAGATTTTTTCTACAAACCCACCCACTAATTTTCCAAGAGGAATTCTAAAAACCTTTTTCAGCATGGCAAACCTCTCCGTTTGTGGAAATGGAAGGGACTATTATATTGGAAAATAATATTCCAATAATAACCTGATTTGACATTAAATGACTGAGGAGGTCGATATGTCGTAAAACACAAACAAACAAAAAATATCCGACGTGGAGATTGACGAAATGTGCAGACATTCTTCCTGAATTTTTCGGACACATCAGTCGTAACCAGTTTTCAACGGTTGTCTCACGTCTTTCTGAATATACCGCTTTTTTACTCTGTAGCTTGTTCGTACGTACAATGATGGGTTATGTGTAACACTTTCAGTATTTCTAACAAATCCTCCTCGAAAATATTAAAATATACAGATATCCCGAGGCTCAAATAAAATATGTCCAACCTACAGTAAAAGGTTAAATTATTATCCACGGATACTTAAATTATTATACTGTGACGAAAAATTATATGATTGCATAACATTCCATCATCGCCAATCGAATCCAGAACGATCACCAAACATGATGAACAGATGTTCCCTCATGGAGACCCCATGACGTGAGTGCCTATTGGGACTTGCACTTGAGGTCTGGGTTTAGTTTAATTCGTACATACGCTCTGTCGCTAAAGATGCTGTGAAAATGGTCAGTTCTGTGTACCGTTTCAGCAAGTACATCACTCTTCCCGATATCCTTTACCTTTACAAGAGCCAGATCAGAACAAAAATGGAGTATTGCTGCCATGGGTGGGAGCTGCCCAATCTCCACTTATTCGCTTTCCTATTTCAGTTTCATTTTTTTTTTAAAGTAAGAACCGGTAATTATGAACTTTAAAAAAAATATAAGCTTTATAACCGATAGTAATGATTCTGGATAATCTGCACTCCGTAAATTGTGCTCCAATTCTGAGGAGGTTTTGTGACATTTCTTTCGTAGGATCTTCTGCATGGTCTTCCATTAACTTACGAAAGTTTACGAAAGAGTGCTGAAACGTTCTCTGCCTAACCAAAAACCCTTCCGTCTGTTCATTTGATCAGGTTTTCGGAAAGGAGTCCATCCATGAACTTTTCAGCGCTCCACTTCGTAAATCTAATGTTATTATGCAATTGTGATTGTCAATTTTGCTCTCTCCAGTGCGCTGCTCCGACTTCATTGCCCGAAAACCGAACCTCAGAATTTTAGGTAACAAACTACTTCATTGGTCTTTACTGTTTTCCTTTTTATTTATTAAAATATTTAAAGGATTTTCTTTAATACATTACATAAAGAATAAAGCTACTTTATTAAATACGATTTTATTTATGGCATTATATGGTTAAAATGTAACCCTGTTATTTTTCTTTTTAAGATTTATGTTCTTGAAATAATAGTATTTATTTACTTGTTTGCTTCTTTCCATCCTCATTGCTGATGGTCGGGGACAATGGATATATGTTATGGTTTTGAATTCAGATTTGTTCTTCTCCTAGACTGGTTGTCAACCACAGCTATAGAGACCAGTCTGTCCTGCTATTTATCCCATAGCTGGGTTTATTTGCAGTAAACTTTAAATTGAGTATTAAAGCTGTCTTAAGCTGTTAATACCAGAAAGACAACTATCTTTTAGAAATAGTAAATTCTAATATTCAGAATACTAAGACTGATTCGTTGATATGTTGTTTACAACTTATCCCCGCTTTGCAATTTAATTAAAGCTTCAAAATATTTTTAGATCGTAAGATTTTTTTTTTTTTTTTTTTTTTTTGGGTGGGGGATTGTCAGAACTTGGTAAGGGTGTCCGTAATAATAACACAGTTTAGTCTGGTTATTTCCCTTCCAAGTGATACTCCTGCCTTTTATTCACGCTTAATAATATGGCCGACACGGTACTTCCGTATCTGAACAATGACTGAAAAGGTGCTTCCGTTTCCTTAGTTCCCGGTCACAGCAGAGATAATAATGGTTTCGTGACACTAGTCTTACTAATTAACGCCTAGCTAGAGAAATAAAAAGTGGATTTATACCTCTTTCAAGGGTATTTGCGCGTAAGTGAATCTAACGAACCTAACTGGAATTGGAACTCGGCTCTCTGATTAACAATTTCTGGCCATTACCCATTACACCACCCACACATCCAAGCTTACAACACCTGGTATTCCCAAGCGGTCACCCATTTAGGTACTGACCAGGCTCGACGTTGCTTGACTTCGGTATCGTACTAGAACCTATTTCAACGTGATATGGCCGTAAGCTAAAGCACTAAGAAGATTGCATCGTTAGTAATTGTGACCCTTTCATTTACGGTTAATTTGTCGTCTGCTAGAGAAAGTGTTTAGAAATGTCTTTTCGACCCAAAACTCTCTTTGGTCTACTTTGAGTCCTTTTGTTTTCCATTTCCATAGAATTTTTATTTTTATTTTTTTTTTTTTTTGTTATTTTCTGCACAATGTTTCACCTAATAAGTTCCATCATTTAGTCAACAAAGTTGGGGAACTTTTTCGAACAAAATTTATAAATGTGGCTGCTTCATTTATTTTTTGCAGGCGACGTGCCATTCGGATAGCTTTGATAATTTCAACTGTAAATGTCCTCCAGGATCATTTGGCCAGTACTGTGAAACAGACCAGGATGAATGTATGAGTAATCCATGTAAAAACTGGGCAACATGCATTGATCATTTGAATGGCTACGAATGCTTATGTCAGTCTGGCTATAAAGGTAAGCAAAAAATAAGTTATCTTCCTTTGAAGAGTATTTTTCCTAAACGAAATACCCAAACACAACAAATTATGTAACGCTTATTTCGATTAAGAGCTTTACTTAGAACAATTACTTGACTACTTATGTAAATATATATAAGTGAGAGATGGCTATAAAAAGGTAATGTTGATTATTTACGGCTAATATGTTTAAATAATGCACTGGCTATTGTTTGAGTCGCGTGGTAATAATTTTAAGTAAAATGATTCACTAAAATAATTAACCAAGTAATCGTTTTAAGTTCTCTAAATATCAGTGCCATAACCAAAATGCTTTATATAAATATTTATTAAGCTTAATCTGGTGCAGAACCAATGGAATAAGAGATTTGTTCTGTCCCTCTTTCAAGTGAAGAAGGTGTAGCTTCCTGGAGGATCAGGATTCTAAATTTTGGACCATAGAGCCGGTTGAAAATGTATAGACACGTCAGTCCCCAAGCAGGCCTCAATATGATTATACTATTTTGGGAGAAAATGACGTAGAATATTTTGATTGTTAATTTGTTTAAAGATATACTTTAATTATTTTTTTTTTAATTTCAGGGACACTGTGCGAGTTGGACATAGATGAATGCAAAAGTAATCCTTGTCAGAATGGGGGCAATTGTATAAATCTTAAAAACAACTTTTCATGCATCTGTCCACAAGGGATGACGGGTAGCAAATGTGAGGATGACATCGATGAGTGCCTGCATTGGCCCTGTTCCGGAAATGGAAACTGTACAAATTCAGTTAGCAGCTTCTATTGTTCTTGTTTTCCTGGTTTTACTGGTGAGCACTGTCATCTGCATGACCCGTGCTTCTCCGCCCCGTGTAAAAACAACGGCAGTTGCTCCCCCTTAGATGTAAATGCTGCAGACGATAATTATACCTGCGCATGCCCTCCTGGTTTCAACGGGACCAACTGCGAATTTGACGTTGATGAATGCGCAGAAGCCCGTGACATCGACGAAAAGCTTTGCAGAAACGGAGGCTCCTGTGTCAATATAGTGGGTTCTTTTGAATGTGATTGCCCTTTGAGTTTTACAGGGCCTCTGTGTGAAGTAAAGCATCAGACATCTATGGAGTTTGATTCTTACACACAATTCACAACAGAGGATAATAAGATGCCAACGTTTATATTCGATAACAGTTATGTAAAAACTGAAAGAGGACAGACTACATTTGATCATAGTAAAAAGATATTCAGTTCAAGAGAAATTACTACAAGTTTAACTTCATCATCAATGGAACTAAAAACTGCCGCAACAGAAGGGCTACGTGACAAAGAAACAGATCATGAGTTAACTTTTGAACCAACAACTATAGCAACAAAAAGAAACAAAACAAACACAACAGTTACATCATCTACGACTTCAAAATCAACTTCTATAGCTATGTCTGCTCCTCGTTTTATTCAGGTTGCTGGCACCACTTTGCACAACGAAGATGTCACTGAAAGCACTCTAGAGAATTTCCGTGGTTTTTCCGAACATGGCGAAGATTTTGTCGCGGTTGAAGGGGTGCTCAATCCCATAGCGCTGACAACTAAAAGACCAAAAAGGAATGTCGTTACTGACTGCGTTCTGATAAAAATATTTGGGATAAACAAACTTGACTCAAAATCAGAGAAGGAAGGCGCCAAAAAGGAAATCTGTTGGCTAGTGTTTGAGTCAATTTCTCGGCCTCTTGCCGACGTGAACGTTACTGTTACCAGAAATAGAGACAAAGCATATAAATGGACTGTCCGAACGCTTAATAATCTGACGCCTGTTACACCACGTCCCGTTTTTGTGGAGAAGGAGATCCAGAGTTTTCTGAGGGAATTCCAAATGATCTTGAACGAATTCAGTCGTTATCGAAGTAGTAGCACTGATAAGTCACCTTTAAACTCGGACTACCTTCAAGTTTTAATAAAGACCAAAAGGAAAGGACGTGGATATCTTAAAAACAAACCCAATAATCCTTACATACGGTACATCAAGACAGTTAAGTTTTTTCCAAGATCACTAGCGTCAAAGATGATTTTATACAAAATTTCTGGTAAACGAATAAGCACGACTCCAGCTATAAGAACCACTAGAAATCGTTACACGCCATTATTACAAAAACTTCAAACGTCGACACGTACATTTTCAAGTATAAAGATCCCTGTGAGAAGACTCCAGATTGTCCTCAGAAACTTAAACAATACTCACGTCCAAAAGAGAATATACTATCCACAAAGGAAATATGTTCAAGGATCTCAAAATATTATCAGACCGAGCATTGCTGTAACCGTCTTTCGGTCGGCAAGGAAAGTCATCGAGGCTGGCAGTGAGAAAGCTCGTCAAGCCTATCTGGAAACCAAAATCGTTCTACACAAGACACTTCGACAGCTGTCGTCGCTCTGGACTGCAGTCCACCGAATATCAAATGTGATATACGTCCCCGTAGCTCACTCAAAAAAGCTAATAACCAAAATGTGGAACGCTGCTTGGATCAAGGCACGAAGTGCTTACAGCGCTGCACGAGATATTGTTCACAGGGCCTACCAACAGGCTCGAGAGAACTTCCGTGAAGTGTATGACAGGCTGAAGAAGGAATCCAGCTATCTTTCGACCAAGTATTACCAACATTACAGAGATCATTACAAAGAATACACAAAGCAGGTGAGTAAGGCAGCCGATACCTTCATGAACACTTACAACAATTACGCTTTATATCTGACACAATACTGGAAAAAGTATATCAAAGGAGATCAGAATGTTGATGTTATGCAACCAACGCGCGATAAAGAAAACCCGTTTATTAATTCAGTCGGTAACGAAAGTGGAATCGTAAAAAAATAAGCCAATCAACAACGGTGAATGTTGACGCCTGGTAAAACATTAGACAATAGTTTCAATGATGTTCAATTTCAAATTCTTTCTCTGTGTTTCACCAACTCTGTCAAATGTTTTTCTCTGCCTTTTTTTAGTCGCTAAAACTCTGAAAAGTTTAGTGATAAACGAAATCACGGCTATTGTTTTCTTGAGCAAATTTGCTAACATTATTTGTTTTGTTAAAATTTTCTTTCATGTTAAAGAACCGTGTGATTGCCTCGTAGCCGAAATAGTTATACACTTCCCACCAGTGATATGGGTGAGACTGTATTCGAGCCCAGGTAAAGGACAGGACTTTGGATGCTGATTTTCCCATGCAATCGGACTTTGAAGACTGGCTTAACGCAATCTTCATCCGAATCCTTTGACTATACTAAGCTCATATTAGAAAATATCTTCATGTTAAACAGTTCAATATTTTTTTTACAGTATGGGATTGCTCCGCCTTGTCTACCAGTTGACTTCTTTTAAAGCCCGTTATTTGACATGGTGATACGCTGTATAAAAGGAATGAACTCACACACGCTCTCTTTTCACCCTACAGGATGTCATAGCGACAAGACGTCTAGTTTTCTCCACTGGGAGACTTAGTCACATAGCGAACCGACTTCTTAATTTTAAACAAACTACGTGGCGCATCATTACACATATACGCTCTCATGCACCACAGACAATTGCATAAATGTCTTTGTCACTTTTTCTGAATTATGTTTTTTCTGTTTATGAATATACAGATATAAATCCTCCATTTACTTTTGAAAGTTTTCAACCGCAACTATTATTAGTAAGCCGATCTCCGTAACATCGGCTTGAGGTTTCTTTGAGCCTTTCCTAAATGCAAAAACGCGCGACAAGACCAAAAACAATCTTCGTAAATTTGTCTGCTGCTTTATTAATTTATTTCCTCTTTGATTCAACTCCAAATAAGCTATTAATACAATTTCGACGATGCGTATTTCAAAAATGTTATCAGATTCCATATTTGATATTAATCGTCAAAAATATATACAAGATTTGCTTTCTCAGTATGTAAGTTCGGTAAACATGGATCTTCGTGTCCGCAAAAAAAAAAGTGTCAAAAGTACGGTTTTCCCCATTACACCGCTTTTATTTTAACTAACTTCACTCTTCGGCAATGTTTATTATTTTAAAAAGTGATGATTAGAATCGGAATAAAACTTAAACATATGATGAAAGTGAATTTATATATATATTTTTTTTCTTCAGAATTTACAACAATATCAAACGCTATTGATTGGATTGTTTGTTTACAAGAATACTTTTATATTTACAACATTCTAAAAATTAATACAATTAAAACTAATGCAATTTCTTTGCACTTTATGAAGTGGGCGGGGGTCAGTCAGTTATGTGCCAGGCGTGATACACGCTTCTGACTAGGCAGATTTTTTCCCGCAGTAGGTTGTCATTTCTTTCTGCGGAAGATCAATTGCCATCCAAAGCTATATAACCCGGTCTGTCCTGCTATTTACCCATAGCTGGGGGAGAAAAGAGGATTCATACCTTTCCCAGGGGTATTAGCACATAAGTGGATGTAATGGATTCGACTGGAATTTGAACTCGGCTCTCCGGTTCCTCAATCCAAGCTTCTATTCATTACTCCACCGTGCCTCCCTAAAAATCTAAAAGAAATTCTTTATACACATATGTTTAAATACTGTTTTTCTCAGTGGCGTGTATGTGATTCTATAAGTGTATGTGTATATGTACTGTTTATCTGTAGGTATTTACCTTAGTCTGGAACATAGTTACAATTATGTGACACCCGGTAAGGCTCGAACTCACTAATTTTCTTACCGTCGCCACCCCTTTTTGTTTATTTGTATTCCTGTGAGAAATCTTTTATACGTAAATTTAAAATTTCCTTCACCTAGACAAGATTTAAAACAAATTGGACAACTCTTTTGATAATCAGCCCTCTTAAGAACAGTGTGGGATTTTAAATTCAACACCGTCCCCAATCATTTTAACCAAACTCCCGTAATAAAGATAAATTTGCCACCCATGTTACGAAATGTCGATGTATTTACCAATACTTGGCATTTATTTGTACTGTGGGGTTATCCCATTTGTTGCCAAAACAATGTAAAAGAAAAGGGCGCAACAGTCTCTCTCTCTCTCTCTCTCTCTGCGTGCACACACACACACACACACACACACACACACACACACACAATGCTTTTCGATATAAGACGTGTCTCGTTTTTTTCTGGAGCTACGGGCGTTTGGTGTTAAAAAACCTCCTGTCTCATTAAAGAAAATAAGAACAGCACAAGCATACATTATTCCTAAAAAAACTACACACGCATCAAATCATCATATATAACTTTTATTTACCCTACATTTATTTTTTTTCTCAACCAGCCCTGCCTCATAAATAAATGGCCTATTCCGTTTTGATTGCATGAGAAAGCAAAATACATATCAAAGACGTTACTTAGTTTAATCCAGAAGATGAAAAAAAGGAAGATAGACGTTAAACACTTCTATTTCAGTCAAATGGAAAAATTGTCAATTTCAAATCTTTCATCAATGCTCAGAGATGAAAACCAAAAGCTTTCATATTTATGATTATTGCAAAATTTTGTTAAAGTTGTTAAGCTCAAATATTTATCTCGCATTGAGCTTATTCAATCGTTAACTGAAAAATTAACATTCATCAGGAATTTCAAATAGGAAAACCGTGAAAATGTTCATGGATTAAGATTAGTATCGAAATTAACATATAAAGGACTCTTCTCGCATATAAGTCTATTGCAATCTTTCATAGGAACCCCACACACTTACGTACGTAAAAGGATCTCTACATACATAAAGGAGCATTCATCCCTTTTTTGTATTTTCTATTTGTTTTGCTCGGGTAATAAAATATGTTGTTAATTGTACGTAATTGTCTACATATTCACTCTTACTCCATTGCTGGAAGAAAGTCCAATGCATCCATACTATTTTACCATCAAAATACTCAACAGCACAATTTCTCTGTGTGTGCAAATATTTATAGTCTTTTATGCCGATATACAAACATGCGTAAAATTGTTTATAACGGACGGCTACTCGTTTTCCGAGTAAACCTGTCTACTAGCCGCTCCCTACTGCAGACGCTTGATCAGGCACATTTGTTCAATACCTACATAGCGCACCTGTGGTTTATGCTGCACCTATG